TCCAGGTTTTTTTTTTAAGTTTCCCAGTCTAGCCAACAGTTCTATGATTTCTTAGTGGTCTTCCATCCAAGTACTCACCAGTTCTGTCTCTGTTTTTGGTGTTATTAAGATCAGCCAAGGTAGGCTAGGTTCTATCACCTCCACTAATGTATCTCCCCTAAAATTATGCTTAAATCACAAAGTATTTGGAGGGGAGAAATCACAGTTCCAGCTCCCAGTCAACAGTTTTGGGGTCCTTGACCCTAAACCTGCTCCTCAGCAAATTTCTCAACCAAGTACGTTCCAACTTGCTTCCTCTCCAGCAGTGTGTTGGGACTAACTCCCAGAATTCCTAGCTGCACTGACATAAGGAGAAGCCCATCCTGGCTGGGGAATTCTGGGAATTCTAATCCCAGCTTTTCATATCATGTTTCACTCTATCTGCAGATTCTGGGAATCTATCTATCTATCTATCTATCTATCTATCTATCTATCTATCTATCTATCTATCTATCTATCTATCCTGCCATTGCTAAAAGCACTGAAACCAGATCAGAGGATTGGGGGAAAAATCAGCCACTTTAATTTGAGAACAGGTTTTTGGCAGCACTTTCAAAGAAACACACTCCCCTATAGGAAGACTGAAATAGCATCATTATGGTACAATAGTGTCCACGCTACATATGTTCTGTTCTTGCCTGCTAAGAATAATTGTGCTTTTTACCTTTGCTTCTTCTAAACTTCATTAAAGGCAGCCGTATCTGGATCAGAGGGGAATGCAAAATTAGATACACCCCCTCTTGATACTCACTCTCCCCCCACACCAATCCTGCCAGTTGCTTTGCTGATGTAACATACGGGGGATCCATTTATGGAAACCATGTCCTAGATTTGATTTGATTTTTCCCTTGACGTAAGACAGCTAGAAAACTTCTGTAAAATCCAGGTTCCGCTGAGGACAAAGATCACGGATGTCTTTTGTTTGATTAGACAGATGAAGCCACGGGAAAGGTGCTAAATAAGAAAACAAGCCTGATTTTCAGGGCTTAGCAAGAGGCAGGAATGAGGCTGAAAGAGAGCTGGCCAAAAACAGAAAGACAGTTGCCACTGCAAAGGGTATTTTGTTAATCTAAGGGACAAGCTGGGTGCACAAGTTGGTGTGAAGTTAAACCCACAAACCAATAACCCTTTAATGGAAAGAAACACCATACACTTCTATGGAAAATCAGTTTCTCACGTTTCATGTTCAACTCATTTGAGGCCATTTCTACATCTGTTTGCTTGCTTTTTAAAAAATCTCCACATGAGCATTCATATGCAGTTTATCAAACCACAATTAGACCTGAATCTAATTCTCCAGCTACACCACACCCTGATTTTTATATCATTTCTGTCTCCATCCTGAGATTCACCAAGCTCCCATTTATTATCCCGGCTCATTTTCACATCCCAGATGAACACAAGGAATGGGGGAATTGGTCAATTTCAGTTGCTCTCCATTTTTCATTGTTGTGACTTCTCAATTTCAGTTTTTCTCAAACTTTCTTCTTGTGAATGGATCAAATTAGCTTTCAGAAACTGAAGAACTTCACATTCAATTATGTGAATGAAATTACATTCCTGTGCCCGTTTCTCCAAACATGGGCATTTCTGTTTGGCATGTACAGTTTTTGCAAAACAAAAATCTTTTGTGAAAGGCGTGTGTGTAATTAATTTCTGGAATAGATGCTCTGTTTCTAAACCCAGGTGATGGTTGCTAGCAGTCTGCAGTGAAAAATCCAGAGAAAGGTGAATTTTGAATAATTGAGTCTTTTGTGTAAGACTCAATTCTTACACAAAAATGCAGAATTACACATCCAAATGCAAGCTAAACAAATTCCTCCTCCATCCATAGCAAAAACCAGATACATAAAAACTTGTAAGAAAGCGTAGTGATTTTGGCAACCTTACTATTTTCCACATTGCCCATTGGACTTGGAATGGGAAGATAACTGGGGGAAGCATACAGTACTTACAGGGTTAACTGAACTGCAGATAAATTGTTAAGCCGCGCATCTCACCTGGTGACCTTTCACATTGTGTCAGTTCCTCAAATGACTTACAAGGTGGTGCAGTGGAGAAGATGCTGGATTAGAAGTGGGGAGACCCAGGTTCTAGTCTCCCTTCAGCCACAGAAGCTCATTGGCTGACTTTGGGCCGGTCCCTCCCTCTCAGCCCAAAAGCCAATCAGGTGTAGTGGCAAGATGCTGGACTGGGAGGAGGGAGACCCAGGTTCTAGTCTCCCTTCAGCCACAGAAGCTCATTGGCTGACTTTGGGCCGGTCCCTCCCTCTCAGCCCAAAAGCCAATCAGGTGTAGCGGCAAGATGCTGGACTGGGAGGAGGGAGACCCAGGTTCTAGTCTCCCCTCAGCCACAGCATCTCCCTGGTTACTATGGGTGACTTGCATCTCAATCTCTCTAGCAAGAGCACTGTGTGAATCTCTTTGAGTTCCGAATGAAAGGTGGGATACAGATCAAATAAATAACTGAGCAAAGCAACAACATCAAGGATAGAGCCTGTCCCGATCCTTTGCTTTTAAATAAAAACCAGCAGCAATTCAGGCAACCGTCTTACAATTTTCCCCTAACTTATGTGCAATGCAACATTCTGCTGGATACTTGACCCTGGGCATTTCTTGCTTGCCAGCATCCAGAACGGTGTTTGAGAGAAAGCTGGACAGAGTTTTGGACTTGCTTTACTGTTGCCATCAGCCGCAAACATGGTCGATTGTAGAAACAGAAAGGTAGCCTGTTCCCTGTCTTAAAAATATAGTCTTGACTGTTGCATTCACACGACTGCATAACTAGATCAATGAAAGGCCCAATTAACACAACGTTTTAAACCTGGTTAGTGGTGACCTTGGTTAGGTTTTCTTTGCATGTTGCCTGAAGCCAGCCTGATTAGTTCATGGGACAATATACTGTGAGAATTCAAGAAATGGGTTTATTCAGTAACCAGGTCAAGTGTGGAAGGAAACCATCCTGAAATCAGTTAGGTCCGAACAAAAAGTTCCCTTTTCTTGAATTCTCTATTCCTTCCCCCTCAATCTGGAGGTGGGAGGGTTGGTGATGAATATGCAGCTCTGAGGGCAGGGTTCTCTGTGCATGCTCAGAAACTGTTCCAGGGCTAAATTCTGCATCTCAAGTAAACAGAGACCTGATGATTAGCTAAATAGCTCAGCAATCTGCACTGAATGCTAACAGCACTTCTGAAACAGATACTGAGGCACAAAAGTATGGGGGTGGGGGGGAGGAACGAACTTTATTCCACAGAGCAATAATAGGAGGCTTCTAGACCCCCTATTTGGTGAAGGAGATGATGTCAGAAAAGTTATCAAGAAAGCACATGGGGCTGTCCCCCCATATCTCCAATGAGCTTTGAGGCTGCACCCCTTCTCCATCACCAGCTGTTCTACCCCCTCCCAAATTTCCAGCATTCCTAATTTATCGCAAAGAGCTGTGCATACAGACCGATATGGCCACAGGGCCTTTTCCAAACTGAAAGGCGCTGGGAAGAGGCCGAACATTCATCCACAGCCCTCCTTCTTTCTTTGCACAGCATCTTGGAGCAATACAGTTTCCCACCCCTCCTTTTTCTTCATTGAAGTCCATGGCCCAGCAGTGGGAGCACGTGGGGCTGCTCAAAATAGCCAAACAGCTCTGAGTGTTATATTTGCACTGATTTGTAGGACTGCCTCCAATGCTTGGGTAGGGTGTTTGAATGTAAAAAACCAGGCAGAATCGCATGCAGGAATAGATAAGGGTTCAACCCGTCCGATTATTTCAAATACCAAATCATGCATGGAAGGGACCTCCTCCTTGCACACAGGACTTGGGGTAGTTACTCCAAATGTCCCCTTGTAAAATAAACAAAATAAAGGCCTTACGTGGGGATGTAGAGACCCTTGATGGGATGATCAGGCCAAGGAGATTAGGGTAAGACATACTGTATGCACATCTGCATTCTGCCAAGGGGTGTCTACAGCGTATGGTCAAAAAAGTCAAGATGGTGGCTGTGATTGAAGTTCCATCCAGTTTTTATAGTGATCTTTCCACCTACCTTTGAGCATTGGAAAATTGCAAAGAGGGACATCCCCATAAGTCTTTTATGCACCTGCCAGGGGTTCAGATTGGGGATTTAATGCAAGATTTCAAGGCCCCTCTGCTCTCTTCCCCAACTAGTGGGGTGAACCCTGGAGCTCTTTCAAAAGTTGCCACCCTATTGCGATTTTTAAGAGGACCCACAAAAGGAAGGAAGAATATTAAATTCATGGAGGGGAGTCACCCTTTGGGGGAGATGGGCGGCATATAAATTTAATAATAAACAAACAAACAAATAATCATAGTCATTGTAATTTAGCTTGTTTCATTAAATTTAGATTAAACTAAGTTGGTGCATGTAAAAAAGGGGTGGGGCTTCAGTCACACAATTGTGGCTGCCACATTGACTTTTCTGACCCCTGTGGACCCCCTTCTTCTACCTCCTTAAAGATGACAACTGAGTAATGACTTTTCAAGGTTTATGAGGATTAAGTCATCCCCAACATTTATAGAAATCTGCCTCTTAAGGCTGGTTCCACCGATCGAAGCATACAAGTTTACCAAGGACTGTTCAAAAAACAGAAGATTGAAGCCAGAAATTTTGGAACAGCCAGAACAAAAACACCAGGCAACTCGACATATTTTAAAAATATTTTAAATTCTATTCCTTTTGCACGGGCACTGCTTTAGCCCCATTGCACCTGCCTCTGCTGACTGTCTATGTTTCCAGGAAGCACTGCAATCTAGTTAAAACTCTGCAGGTGCAATCCAGAGAGAGAGATCCTATGCCTCTCCTCCTTTTCCTGAGCAGAAAGAAATCATCATTCTTTTAGATGATCATTTCTTTCGGGCAGTGACCCTGCTTTTGGCACTTTGCAAAGCATTATCCAGAGCAATCAGCATCACGAAGGCCTGAAAGAGATTTAAATACCCCGCCTCACCTGCCCAACTCCGGTCCCATGAGATAGAAATCCTGCAAAGCTGATTCTCTCTGGGATCCTTCAATCCAATATTCATCCTCCAGAGGTTTGCAAGTGAGCATCCTGGGGCAGAAACTCTGTTCTGTTCCAGAGAGGAGGTCTGCTTGTTCTTTCTGTCTGTCTTTTTTCCTCCTCCTCTTCCTCCTCCTCCTCCTCCCCCGATCACATTGCAGATGGGAGGAATAAAAAAGAGCAAGAGAGAAAGGGGGTGGGGAGGGCTTTGGAGAAGCAATTTCCAGGATTATCCAGGAGGATCACAATAGCATGTCCAAGTCTTCTTCTGCTGCTGCTAGAATATACGGTGGGCGCACTGCAGTTCAGCTCCTCAGCTGCTCCATGCTGGGGGTGCTTGCATCTTCATAGCCCCAATGTCCCTATGGCCTCCTAAAAACAGGATTTTAGGGGTAAGGGTTAGCCCTTGGAGGTAAAGATTGCACCACTCTCTCTCCAGCTCTTGATCTTCTACCTGTCTTTTTTACTTCTTGGCAAATGGCTTCCTTCCTTCCTTCCTTCCTTCCTTCCTTCCTTCCTTCCTTCCTTCCTTCCTTCCTTTGCACTTGTGGTTGCCTTGCAAAACCAACCCAACAGAGTAGGTCAACTTTCCACCTGCCTCTGTATAGCTGTATAGTCCACTGCCTTTCCAGCGCAGTCTTCCTGATGGATGATGGCAGTTATTTCAAGGGAGGCTCGCCCAGCCAGAAAGACCTCCCGTTCCAGGGGTCCTTTCCTTCCTTCCTTCCTCCCTCCCTGCAGCTTTAAATCCTTACAGGAAGATCCTGAGGTGGAGAGCTTTTGTGAGAAGTTAGGAATCGTTGGCTCCAGGTTGAGGATTCTGCCCTCTCTGCTGCAGCCCAATGATAATCGTTTACCCTAAGTAACAATAACGGACATCTGAATCAGATGGATTGGTAGATCCCAAATGCAAGGAAGGTTTGGTCTTGCAAAGAAGTTTTCCCTGTCAGTCCAGATCTTTTCCCTGGAGGCTCCTGGGTTCTGCCGGGTGATGCTCTGGCGGTGCACGGCGGCACCACGCCCGACTGAGATAACATCCCATGACCTCTATTCAGGAAAGCGTGGCTTTTCTGCTCTGCCTTGCAAATCCAGTTCTCTCCTGCCCCCCAATGGATCCTGCTTTTAACTTCAGGAGGATGAACCGGTTGTTGCTGCAAGAGAAAGACCTGGCGATGGGTAGCGTCCCGTTTGCTGGAATGGAAACACTTTCTGCTCCTCTTCGACTTGGCATTAAATGGCTGATCCCTGTCCTGCTTATCTGACCCGGTTCCTAGTCAGTCCCAGATCGCTGATGTCTCTCCAACACAAGGGCACCCTCCGAAAGGTCAGAAAAGTCAAATGGCAGTGGTGGCCACCATATTTACTTTTTTAAACCCTCCCCACACTTCAGATGCTCCTGTTCCAAAGGGAGCATACACTCTAAAATATGAAATCCTTTGAGGCTGCCCTTCCCAGGTGTCAGAATAAGGAGGAAAATATAACACTGATACCAGTACAAGGACAACATATGTCTGTTTCACTCTTGGGCTGGGGATGAGATGAAGGCAACGTCATGGAGACACAGCTGAAAAAGGAGGCTGCCGTTTTTCTGAGTTACCCTTCAAAATTTCCACCAGTTTTTTGTACATAGTCAAAAGTGCACGTTATGGAGAAATGTGCTCAAAATTAGGTGCCCGACATGCCTGCCCAAAAATGTATTTTATTGGGGGAAGCTGTGAACAATAATGCATCTCTTAAGCAGGAATATGCAAAGCGGGGTGGTCTGGCTGCAGAAAGGGGACTAAGAAACAGGATCATGAACCACTTCCTATTCTGGCTCATAAAATTCAGGAACTGCACAAATGACCCCAGGAACCCTTGGATTGGCACCCTTTTGGGAGATAGGCAGACAGTTCTGTTGTTAGATTGCCCCGTCTTTTACATCTCTGCTATTAAAAAGAAATGCAAGCCAAAATAGATATTAATTTTTCTGTGAAGTTTTCAAACATTCTCAAGCTGCAGCAGAAACAATATGATTCTAGATCTGGAAAAATGAGAGAGCAAGCAAAGTCAAAAGGGCCTGATTCATCCATCATTTAGCACCATCTGACGTTTGGTCTAAACATGGAATCTTGCCCTCTACAAAAACCTTGAAAATCCCAACCTCGTGTAGCTGGGCATGGGTGGGTGGGTGATGAGAGGATGAGCAGATTGATGAACGGGTGGATGGGTGGATGAGGGGGGAGAGAGAGAGAGAGAGAAAGAATTTGTGGGTGAATGGAGGGATGGAGAGAGGGTGAGTGAGTGGTTGGTTTGGTGGGAAGATGGCTGGGTGGGTGGATAGATAGATAGATGATAGATGGTGGGTGGATGTATAAATGGATGAATGACTTGGCAGATAGATAGAGGAGTGGGGGTGGATGAGTGGATGGATGGATGGATAGATGGGAAGATAGGCGATTCATTTCATAAAAGAAGCTAAAGAGTATATTGATATATTGCAGAGCACAGCACAGCTCTATTATATTTATTCGTAGCTCTGGCTTTGCGTCCCGCTTGTGTGAGAGATGGATAAAATATCTGTTACTATTGACAAAGAAATAGTAACTTGAGCATGCTAAGAGTGCAGCTGCAATGCTAGGTACCGAGCTGCCAAACGCTCTGCCTCAAACTAGGAGGAGATCAGGAGACATTGCCATGGTAACCAAGCGGCCCCAAGAGCCACAGGAAATGAGGAGGGGGAGATGTCTCTGGGATGAGCTGAGGTGAGAAAACCAGTCTGGAGCAGTTTGACCTGTCTAAAGTGACAGTTAGCAGAGATCTTTTAGGAATGAGTGAACTCTTGCCATCCCAACCTCCATAACAAAAACCACACCCTGCATAGCTAATCCCCTATTTACCATGAACATGTCATGTATGTAGTATGTAGTATGTAGGGGTCTGTAGAGAGGGGGGTAACAAGAAGTAGGCGGGCGGCTAAAGATTGTAACCTCAGAGAGCCCCTCAGCCAATGGAGAAATGGGGAGAAATGAGCATCGGGATAGGATGGTATAAAATGTGCCGAAATCTGTAAGAAGGGGAACGAAGCCCACCAGCCTTTGCAAACGCTTCCAATAAAACTTTACTTCTGATTGACCCAGAGAGATTTGTGGTGCTTGTTTCACACACTTGGAAAGTAAGAACCTCCCCGAGGAACATCTGCTGGGCGTTCTGGTTCGTGGGTGTTTTGTGCTTGGCCGTCCCAGCCCTAGCAGCCATTTTGTGAACAGATGAGTCTCTTGGGACAGCCATTTTGTGAGTGTGCCCATGGCACGCTCTCCGAAATCCAAGGGTGCCTCTGGTTCAGAAGAGTGCCCTTGCTTTAAGCCAGCTGGTAAGTAAAGTCAAAATTATGCTTATAAAATTGCAGGGAATTTATATCGAAACGTAACGGAAGAGGCCCCTTCAAGACAGCAGGCCGGGATTATAGCTTTTTGACAGGAGGGACTAAACAGGGTTTCGAAAGACGGTTTCCTGAAAGCCCGTGACGTCTAAAGTCTAAGTTACTGAATTGTACCATGATCTCAGCAGCTTCTCTATGAATTGTGGAGCATGGCTCTAGCAAAGAAACAAGCAGAGAGGAAAGAAATTCAACAGATGCATCCCACCCAACCAAAGTTGTACTGGCTGCGCTTAACAGCTATTGGGAATTCCTGCTAAGCCGGGTGGATGGAGACTCAGAGGCCTCTCTGCCCCAGGTCTGGGCACTCTGTGGGCTTCTGGCAGTGACTGAACTACAACTCCCAGCATTCCTCGCCATTTAACAGCCAGCTGCTATTGCAGGTTCTACCCACAGACTGGGGCTGTTGCTTTCTTTTTAAGCAACTCTGCAGCTTTTACCAGACCAGTAGAATTTAGTTGGGTTAATTTATGATTATAGCCAGCTTTATCGGCAGCAAATGGCGAAGATGCAGCAAAATAAAAACATGCATCTTTTTAAAAATAAGACTGCAGAATTCGAAAACACTGGAGACCCCATTAACCTTTCAAAGCGGCCTTTGTTAGAAAAAGAACAAAGCAAATCAGTATTGAAATGTAGTTTTCTAGCCCGGCTTTATATAAATAAATGAATAGACTGACTTCCAGAGCCTCAAAGATCTTTCTAAGAGGTGGGTGAGAAATTAATTCAGCTTTTTCAGGATGCTATAATCTTACTCAGTTCACTGTTTTTGAAACTATATGCAAACCAGAATGGAGTTCTATCTTCCTTTTAAGCACTTTTGAATTTTGTTCCACAGTTAGCCAGTTTTCTAAAATAAAAGGCATACAGGTAGTCCTCACTATCCAAACACAATAGGGACCAGAATTTAGGTCACTAAGCAATCTGGTCATTAAGTGAATTGGAGCTGATTTTACAACCTTTTTTATGATGGCCATTAAGTGAATCACTGTGGTCATTAAGCAAATCACATGGTTGTTAAGGGAATTCAGCTTCCCCAATGGATGCTTTTTGCTGGAATTTGCTTAATGACCACGGTGATTTGCTTAATGACCATCACAAAAAGGTCACAAATCGTGATCACGTGACTGTGGGGATTGTAAAACACTTTTCCCAAGGCTGGACTGTCATTAAATGAATGATTGTTAAGCGAGGACTACCTATATAAAATATTATATTAGCACTCCATTAAACATTGCTATTAAAAGAAAAGGCACTTCCTAAAATGTATATGTAAGAATCAGTACATATGAATTTTGTGGATTTTTTAAACTGTTATGAAACGGAACAAAACCAACTTAAGGTTGTGAAAATGAGAAAGGGAGTGAAATTGGACAAGGCTCATTTGCACGTTCTGAGCATGAACAAACCAGTAATTATCACCGTAGTACAAATTTCACTGTAGGAAGATGACATGAATCATTTGATGACTTTGTTTTGCTAATTGTACGCTAAATGCTGTTCATTTTCTGTAGTCCCATTTACAACATTAATTAAAATGCATTTTGAAAACCAAATGGTAATTAAATGGTCAAAAAGACATAGAGGCTAACCGTGCAATGCTATAAATGCCTGGTATGAAATAGGCTCCATTGAGATCAGTGGGGATTTATTCCCACACCAGGAAAAGAGGTTCACAGCCTAAATTCCAGTCATCAGCAATTTTAAAGAAAAAGGGGATCCATTGAAAAGCAATACCTAGAATCTCCAGGTTGCACTGAGAAAGTGACCCCCTTGAAACCCTGGGGAACTGTTGTTGGCTCGGGCGATGCTTTTCATTTTCCTCTTTCAATTCATTTTTCTTTCCTCAACCATGAAGACTGAAATCTTACCTTTTGTAAAAGGGAAGACATATGAAAGTATCTGGAATTTTGTGAAAAAAGGCAATTTAAGGATGAAACCATAGAGGGAGTGGAGAAATGATGAAACTTACAAGGATCCTTTGACTGGGGGGTGGGATGTGAGAGCAGTCTTCTCTGAAGGCCGTTGTTACACTCAAGAGCAGTGTTTCTCAACCTTGCCAATTTTAA